CAAATATATGACTCATCCCGAAAATTAGTTTCGTGAAACACACATATACATGAAATCACACATTATATACATACATATATATATATATATATATATATATATATATATATATATATATATATATATATATATATATATATATGAGAGAAAGAGAAAAGAAAAAGAATATAACATACACTTTGTGTATGAATAAATATGATATATCTATATCTAGTGAAGTAATGAAAATTAATTGGATTCTTCAGAATATCTCGGCATAAAATTTAGAAATATGCATTGCACAAATAAAACAATATTTCCTGTTTTTGATTATACGCCAGGCACCATAATTTGCATATTTAACTCTTGCATTTTTAGATCCAAAAACATTTTGTTTAAATGAATATTTTTGTTTCGTATTTCTTTGTTTTTTCTTTGGATACAAACAAGTTGACAGTAAATTGTCAAATTGAAATGATCTTTAAAATTTCTAATTATGTCGCCATACTCTATAAAAAATATTTCCTTCTTTAATAGACTTCATAATGAAATGAATCATGTTTATGCGCAATGCATTCTTAATGTATTTTCTTCTTTAAAGTTCAGCGCTTTTCTATGGAGACTACATTGCAAATCAATTTTTATCACATCATCTGATGGGATCGTTAATGAACTTATGATATAACGAAATGATTAGAATAATGTACCCATATATTTCTTGAGCTATATGCAGATTTGTACGTGACTTTTCAACAAATGTCTCAGTCGTTACGCATGACATAAAACGAAGCAAAATTTGCAATAGATTGAATATTGAATAATTGAAATCAAATGTCAAACTTAACAGAAATATAATCAATTATATTCACTAATGGTAACTGGCTTTTACTCAGCATCATTAATGTAACCGCCAAAGAGAACTTTGATAATTTCGATAAGTATTTGGCCTGATTAATCAAAAGGTAATTTAAATCATATGTACCTATCTTCAATCTGCTATCGATTGATTGATCTATTCTTCTATCTAGACTATTCTAATGATATCGATTTATTCGATTATATCTATAATTTACATTAATGTTTATGCGGCTGGATATATATATATATATATATATATATATATATATATATATATATATATATATGTGTGTGTGTGTGTGTGTGTGCGTGTCTGTCTGTCTACGATTGTGTCTGTGTGTGCGTGCGTGTGTTTGTGTATTCTAGATATAGCATTAAGGCGTGAATCTGACGAACAGCAAGATGACCTTTACTTATATTCAATATACATACGTATTCTCTCTCACACGCCCACACACACACACACACACACACACGCACACACACATACACACACACACACACACACATATATATATATATATATATATATATATATATATATATATATATATATATATATAATGAAATAAATGCTAAAATGTCTATGTGTGTCACAATTTTCACTTAAATGATCACAATTCTCTAACTTTTAAATATGTCATCTTCAAATGAGATTTTCTAATCTAGGATTGGAATTGAATCCTCAGATTGCAAATTTTGCTCTCTTTGAAATTGAAGACAAAGTGATGAAGTTCTCAAATATTTTTGTCTGCCAAATCCAAGCAGAGAATCTGAACAATTCAAAAGAGAAACTTTCAGAGAAACAGAATACAATATTGAAGAAGTGCGACTGTGTGATCTAAAAAATGAACCTCTGTTGAACCAAAGCCACCATTCAAGTGTATCAGAAAGTATTTGATAACCCCAGTATCAACAATGGATGGATTTTATTCTTGGATGCGCAGTGTCATCATCTGGAATTACTGCTACCCTCTTGCTTGGAGACCTTAAAGTGCACAGTACCCTCAATCTTCTTTTGCATTTGAAACCCAAAATATGAACTAAAATGGCTAAGCTATTGGAGGAGATAAGCTTCACTATCTTGGGTGAATATAGTACAGCTCAAAAACGAGCATTTGTGCCGGAACAAAACACTCAAACACATTAGACAGAATTTACACATCATGCGAGGTTGCACTGTTGTACTCTTTGGTGATTATAGAAAAACATTAGCAGTTATTCCAAGATGAAATCAAGCTGATGAAATTAATGCTTGCTTGAGAGATAAAATGAGAGTTAAAATCACAGGTAACAAAGAAATAGGAATAATTTCTGCTTTTTTATTGCATTTTTGCAAGGGAACCATCGGAATAGGTCAAAATACACATATTTCACTCCGAATCGTTATGAACATTCCGTCTCAACTATCCAAGACTTGATTAACCATGTTTATGCAAACATTAAACACCATTTCATAGATTCAAACTGGCTTTTTGAGAGGGCTATATTAGTTCCCAAGAATCAAACTCTGGATAGCAGCTACTGGAAAAATCCCGAAGAAATAATATTTTGCAATTGACACTGTAGTTGAACAGGAACATGCAGAGAATTATCCAACTGAGTTCTTGAACTTATTGAATCCTTCTGGAATGCCATCACACAATCTGTAAGTATAGGACGATGTGCCAGTTATGCTACTGAAATGTCTGGATCCTTCAAAGATTTGTAATGGAACAAGGTTAATTGTCAAGAAGATGCTTCCTCATCTCTTGGAAGAAGATATCATTATTGGTCCAGGAACGGAAAAAAAACCTTATTACATTCAGACTTTCCTTTTGAGTTCAAAAGACTTCAGTTTCCAATGAGAGTGACCTGTACAATGTCAATCAATAATTCCCAGGGAAAACCATTAAAGTCAATTGTACTTCCTCTGATGGGACGCTGCTTTTCTAAGGGTCATTTGTATGTTGGTTATTCATGGATTGTGAATTGAAACAAGCTAATTGTACTGACCCCGAAGTTTAATAAAATGTATCACGTAATAAGTGCATGGAGCACTATGAGGGATTTAGTTTAAATGCCGCTCAGTAGGGACTAAAATATTCATAAAAACACACACACACACACACACACACACACACACACACACTCACACACACACATATATATATATATATATATATATATATATATATATATATATATATATATATCTAATCGCAGCATGGCCCGGCGTTGCCCGTGCTTGATTCAAAAATCGCTATCAAATGACTAAAATATCTTTTGCCCTTCTTTGAATTTAAATGAGTGCCCTTTACCGTGCTGATGTTACCACATGCCTTACTTCTTGCCTCAAACTTCGAATTTTTACTAAGCTTTATACTAAACATTACATCTGTTACGAAAAAAAGAACTAAACAATAGGAACACAAAACGATCAGCTTTAAAAAAAGGACTCGCAACTGTAAAAAAGAATGAAAAAACAATGTTAACAACAAATACTTTTTCACACCCAACCCAGTTTCCTGAAATATTGAAACCGGTCATAGTACTTGGGCGGAGTTGTTGTTGCCCTTGTTTTGTTAACCCGGTACTTTGGAAACCATACATTGATCCGATCATATATATTTCCCGTAATGTCATTCGGAATGTCCTTCAGATAGCGATTAACAGTCTCGAGTGTAGTTTTTGACTGACAGTGCACTCATCCCCCTCCTCTAGACCTGATTGCTTAGCTATACTGCATTCAGCTGTTTCTGCCTTAATCAGTGCAAGCTGAAGTTTAATCGTTGAGTGCACTGTTCGGCCACCCGGTAGTAATGTGTCAGCATTGCCTGAAGACGCTACTTCGCCATGGCACCGAATTTCTGCAAAAAGCTGTTTTGTTACGAACGTTTTTCCCGTTCCTCCAGGAGCGTCCAGGAAGAAAATTGATCCTGTGTCCTGCCCGGTGGATGCAAGAACCGCATCCTGAGCTGCCCCTTGGTCTATGAGAAGTGTTGGCTGATTTGTTGAGACATACATGTTGAGCACCTCAACAGAGTAGGATGTCCCCGCAAAATCTCAAGTGAGAGACAGGAGGAAGACACACGATCTGGCGTTGGAAGCCCAATAGCGGCGAGAGATTCCCCTCCCCCACCATTTAAACAAACAGGTTCTCGATGATTATAAGCGCCCTGTTGTAAATTTCATCGTTGTATATAAGAGCCATTGTTGGACACAGCATTTGCGCTTCTCTGAGTATGTCTTCGGACAAAAAGTCCTTGTATTTGTCCCAAAGTGGTTTGGGATCAATGGGTTCGCACATTTGTAAGATTGTGATGAAGAGGTGGCCCAAAGCAGAGGTCATTTTAAAAAGATCTCCCTCAGCCATTGTGGCATCCCACTGGCTGTCGTCTTCCAAAAGGCCGAGACGGAGGCAGGCCTCACGAAAAGTGTCACATAAAACTTCATTAACCTTCCGTAAGTTATTTTCGCTCGTTGGACCACTAACTTCGTGCAAGAAGAGTCGCAAGTAAAAAGATTCCTGTCGCGATGGGGGAACCGTGAATACCCTTCCGAGTCTGGCATCATTTTTGACGGCTGGATAGCCCTCGACGTTGGCCCCGCACTTCCGCCGAGCCCAGGTGTTCTTTTTTGTCCACACGTAGTATGAAGGCACGTTTGGGTACAGTAGAGTCCTAGTAAACTAGTCCTGTCGACAAAGTTTGAAGAAGGCTGTAAGCGTTGTGTCTTTGGTACGCGCAGCCACATCCACTGCTGTATTCGCAGAAAAATAACGATGTTCGTCTTTTTCTAGGTGCACAGCAAGATGGACGATTGCTGGGAAGCGTTCGTGGATGCGGAAGTTGAATATGTGCCAAGGGCCTTCTGTGCTGCTAATGGCGAGCCCTGCATAGAAGTCCTGGATTTCGTCTACGGAACCTTCCTGCCTAATACCAAATACCGCAGCATCAGTCCCTTTTGTTGATTTACTTGCATGCATACTTGATGGAGCGAACTGAATGGCAATATTTGACATTGGTGTGCGCATTGAACTCTTTTGTTAGCAGCGGACAGTATGTCACTACCCATCTGTTATCCACTTGGTGGCCTTTTACCATGGTTGTAAATCCTCCTTCAGCGGGACCCCTTTACAGGTACTGTGGGTAACCATCACTCCCTGTATAGGTTTCGCTCACGAAATCTCTTGGAGACTTCCGGGTGCATTTGCCGTCGCTGTTGCGACAGCTGGTGTAATTGTAATGCGACCCGCAGGGATCATGAATCATGTTGGTTGTCATTATTTCGTACAATTCAGGGTCAGCCGACGGATAAGGAATTTCAGCAGAAATAAGATGATCGATTTCTATGGCCTCAATCATGTCGCACAGCCAAATTAGTATATGTGCGTGAGGCAGGCCGCATTTCTGCCAGTCAATAGTGTGCATGCGACGGCAAACAGCCATAAAAACCTGTCCCTTTGAAATCACATACATTAGCTCTCCCAACTTACGATGGTAAACATATGCAATGAGATCTGGACGGTCGTAGGCCGATTGCCGTGGCATAAGTTCTTTCCCTGTGAACGTTGCAGGTAGTATGAACATCTTGCCTATATTGCGTGGATCAGCGTCATTTCGTAAAGCATCACGGAGGTGAATGCAAGAGTCGCAGGGTAACCTGGTCTGATTCAATCTGATGTAACAGAGTTTTTCGGATTCCATCTTAGCAGGCATGTCTACTATGAATTGATGGAAAAGTTGCCAGTTTCGATGATGATGATTGAATGCACCCTCATGTACCATCAATAGGTAGGCATAGAAAGACCTGCAAGACACAGTTTTTAAGGAGGATTCATTTTGCAGAATGCCAAATTGGTACCCATCTTCTCCGTAAGGGAAGAGAAGTGGGTATTGTATATATGCATGCATTATTATATGTACTTAGAAAGGTAAATGATCACGTCTCTCAAGAGTCCTCCTTTATGCAAAATCTATACACGGTACACTCACAAGGTTGTTTACGAGAAATTAGGCTTCGTTTGTTTCATTTAACATTCTCAAAAGTGTCTTATACAGTAGTTCTTGACAAGGTTCAAATGCTAAAAGTTTAGTCTCATTTCCTCTTGTAATTATCTATCTATCTATCTATCTATCTATCTATCTATCTATCTATCTATCTATCTATCTCATGTTGTCTGTCTGTGTGTCTGTCGTGAGCGTTGTTACCTCGCCCAGGCCGCATTTCTCACCCGATTTCGATGCAGTTTTCACCCCAAGTTTAAAAATGGCTGCCGTAAGGACATGACGGAGACCGATTTTTTGTTCTGACACAGGTTCCGAAAAAATCGATAATCGATAAAATCTGTTACAGAAGGTATGATCGCATTTCAACCAAATTTGACACCCTCTTAGATTTTAACATTAGAAGTGTTGTCCAGAAGTTTCATGACCACGGACCCCTAAACAGCGCGGAAAATCGATAAAACACAAAAACAGATACACCCAGATTGCGCCTGAAATGCATGTCGGTTTTTAGCGAATACCGACCAGATTTATGAGGAGGCAATTGGGAGTCACCATGTGAAGTTTAAACTCTGAACGCCCCCTCCCAAACAGAGTGCAAATGGACAATCGGTCAACTCTTGAAAATGTTTTTCCGGTTGGGTATTTCCTAAATGCAGATTAATTTAAGGTCACACTATGCGCGGGAAGAAACAGGTCTGTGCGTGCAGTGGAGTGGAAGAAAACATTTGACATCAGATTCTGGAATGGATGCAGGTCCATTGCCGCAACTTACCAAATTAAGTACTTCCTTTATTCGCGTCTTTACTGAAAAAAAAAAAAAAAAAACGCATATGGGCTGAGTGAAAATGGTTCCGCCCTCAGCAGTCCATTTTCCAATTTTTTAAACATTTTCCCCTAGCCCAGGCCGCATCACAGACCTGACGAGGAGATTTTGCGCTAAAACAGCAGGGCTTCCTCCCAATTCATTTCAAAGCTAATGCCGGCAAACGGTTAGCGGCTTTTCGTTGTCGCACAAACCAAACGAGCAAACGCTTCATTGCAGCTCCTTTCATTCTCATCGCCGGCATCACGTGCGTTAGAGCCGAGCTGCATATGCAGCATGCAGCTTGACATCGTTTACGACCAAGCCTTGCGCTTGCCAAATCATGCGCGATGTAATTTAATTTTCCGCTGCTATAGAAGAACGTACTGAAAGTCTTGAAATGTTGCAGACTGTTAACTGGACTTGAGAGTCTGCAGGTCTGTGTTGTTCAGACGATAAGGTACAGTTGCCACCTTTTCAGGAGCTACCTGCTACGTTGACAGCTCTGTTGGAGGGTTCCAGTCCAGACTCAAAACATTTCTTCGCAAAAATCAAACAGTACAATTAAGCCTTCCAGATGAGCTTTTTTGGTGGTAATGCCCTCCGCAAAGTCGGTTGGAATCCCACCTTCAAGGTTCAAGGTCAGGTTTACCACCGGGTTGGGTCTCTTTTGCCGGAAACTGCCACTGATTCGGTCTTTCTACAAATATACATCATAGCTGACTACAATCAACAGGTAGATGCCCGCATGGGTATTATTCCCGAGAACAATACAGGCCAGGACAATCATCCTCGCAGGGATATCATAATGAGTCTCTAACAAATGCTCCACGAGACAAACAGCTATGTCCGCAGTTTTAATTATGCTCTCGAAAATAACACAACTTCTGATTTCATTAATGAGAGCACGAACGTCGTTACAATACTCCCGCAAGTAACGAAGTTTCCGTCATTGTCAGCGGTGATCAGCACAACAGACGTTACATTGTTATCGAATCACGCGACAGTGGGCTCCGAAGAATAAGTGAAACGCACCGGTCCTACGATGCACTGGGAGGGAAGAAGTCGTTCACCCATAAAACTCACAAGCGTATTTGCACGCATAATGTGTCCGTCTGATTAAAACAGTTTGACAAGTTAAGCAAAAGTTTTAAACTCTTAAAAATTTCAATAGACAGATATTTGCATGTATATGTAAATTTCTTCCACGAAGCCAAATTATTTTATTTTTCTGATATTTTCAGCATTTGCCATATAATGTTAAGACATTAGCTAGATAAAAATGCCATTGAAACTAATGTTCTGTCATTACGTAAGCGGTAATTCTGCCTCAACCTATATATATATATATATATATATATATATATATATATATATATATATATATATATATATATATATATATATGAGACTCCCCGTGAACCATTGGGCCACTGACACTTCAGGTTAAGAATCAAACATTTGAAGATAGTTAAATTAAATTTACCTACTTTATAAACTACTCGTATTTTTAAATCTCATACAATTATTTTTTTTTTAAAATCAGTATAACTTACAAATATTTTTTTAATATGTAAAAATATCATTTCAAATCATAAGCATTGCTTGGGTTTCTAATCATAATGATGCTTGTAAGAACTAGTAGTTTAAGGAGAAAACTAAATAGGGCTGTTCACTGGCCGTATAAAAATAAATGGTATTATCTCTAAAAAGGGCTTGACAGCGTTCTCATCAGTCAAGTTTAACAACAAAATTGTGGTCTCCCTAAAAAGAGCTGGAATATGTTCCCTGATAGGCTAATAATTAAATAATGATAGATCAAAGAAGCCTGGAATAAGGTCACTAATATTATTACAGTTTATTTGTAGTAGTCCCTAAAGAAGACCGCTAATTATGTATTGGAGACTTGCCAATATCTTCTAGTGAATTGGCCGCGGAATCTAATGCCGACAAATGGGAAATAGACACAGTTAGTAAGAATTAAGAAAAAGTGGAAAAAATAGGTTAAATGTATCACACACCTAAATCATGCGAGTAAACTGGGGAAACCGGAACAAAGTCTTAATGGAAATTGAAGTCTACCAAGAACAAAGGGGATTTCCGCAACTGATGGTGTGACATGTATCCTGGGTATGTATACATGCTCTGCCAAACCATATTCTGTGGAAATAATCGACTCAATAACATGTGGCAGAAGTTTATAACCACAAGGCCTGTTCCATTGCAGAGACATGCCGGTTCCTAGTTCCTCTGTAACATTAATTAATTTGTTACCCAGATTGCAAAGACTGCAGCTTTGATGTCGTGAACAGAATTTACAACGGGGCATATTTGTGAAAATGAGATCTCTCCAACTTCATCAGATGGCACGTAGGCGTCATTGACTCCTAGACTATGCTTTGACATTTGTGCTGAGATTTGGTCCCCGATCAGTTCAGCTCCCATGTTGCTTTTAAGAGAAACATTTTGACCTGCCACAGAGGTGAAGACTTAATACAAGCTTAGCCAGCATCTGTCCTCGTAACTTTGGAAATAATGGGGAGAGTGTGCCTGAAATCACTTGATAGATGGTCTCTTTCCATTGAATGTTGAAAATGTCATGTGCCTCCCAAAGTCTTATCCAGGGACTTGGGTGTTCCTTTGTGGACCATCATGCACTAATCCCACACAATGAGCAGCCACCTTTTCATAACATCACCTTTAACAGAAACCTTGCTGGTGTTTCAGGTCATTGAATCAGACGAAGTAAAATTAATTGTCAGCGTAAAGTCGGAGTGCGCTGTCCTACCACCGGACAGAAGAGTTGTAGCAATTCCAGACTATGGCTCAGCGAAAGCGATCCCCTTCTTTTGCTGTACTTTTACGATGTGTAGCTTCGTGGCGAATGTTTTACCTAACCCTCCAGGTGAATCCAAGAAGAACAAACCATATTTCCGTAGGCGAACGGATTCGAAATTGCCCTTTAAGTAACTTTAGCTCGTTTTCGCTGATATACCGTTCAAGAGAGTCGACGTCGTACGAAGTTAAGTGAATTATTCCTTTTGGAAATGTATTTGAACTCGTTCGGCGCACTTGATCAGGCCCAATGCTACAATGAGTTTTCAATAAAAACAATATTAGATTTAGAGTGAATCCTGCGTCAAATCCGCAAAGTATTACTGGCCCATATTATTTGAAATCTTTCGAAATGTTCTCTTTGCATACAGAATCACAGCATTGATTTGCCGTATTACAGCAGCCCCCGCGAGAGTTTCATAACACTGAGCACTGTCTTATATATATATATATATATATATATATATATATATATATATATATATATATATATATATATTGAATAAAAGACAGACCACGTTAAGATTCCATGTAATGAGCTATTTCACCATAACCCCTTTAACAGGGTTCTGGATCATCAGACTTTACTTCCAAAAGCTGAAATGAAAAATGAAAAGAAATTCACACGTTTTTGACGGACCTCATCAAGTATACGTAAAGTTAACGAAGTGAGGGAAGTGAGGTGGGAGAGAGGATATGAGTGTGTCATATGTATCAT